TTATGATTAAATCCACAATCAAGTTAATAATCTTGTAAGAAACTACAACAATCAAATGTTTATGATTAACATTTTGTTATTACGTTAAAGTAAATTAAACTGTAAAAACTTTTTTTCCTTAGTTTTAATAATGATGATTAAGATTTAAAATTAAAATTATCGCGTGAAAACAAATGATGATTAAGATTACATGTATAATGATAATAATAAAACTGATTATCAAGTTAACATTAATCATAATTGTAATGATTTAGTGTTACAATTAGATCTAGAAATTTGAGAAAACAAAAACAATTTAAAACATCAAAGTTAATTGTCAGATTAAGGTTTGGTTAAATATCAACTGAACACGCTATTGATTGTTTAATTGTTGATCGTAATCATCAAATCCAAACAATTTGGATACAAATGATTAATTAATCACTAAAGAAACTAATCATTTGATTAGTATTTCAAAGCGCCATCTAGAGCCCAATTAAGAAACTGTTGGAAATTTTCAATCATAATAATAATAATAATAGTGATTAAGATGATTTTCATTTTGATTGTGATCATAATGATAATGATTAAGGTATTTGAAAAATTGATACAAAGACACAATATTATCATTTATATAATTGCAATAAGAATTGATCAATAAAAGTCATTGATAATAATTGACTACTGATTATGATTATGATGATGATGATGATGATGATTACATAATTTTGAGTGGTCATCATTTAGTTGTTGATGCTGATTATCAATAAGATGATTATCAATAGTATTGATTGTTGTAAATGGTTTTCTCTTGTTATTTTGTTCCAATGTTTTGATTTACCAACCCAATTATTAGCTTGATTAGTGATTGTATCATTTACCTTTTTCAAAGGGTTTTCTTAGGAAAAGGTCATCATGATATTGAGATAACAATGGGAACGTGTCAAAGTTTTTTCCCCTGAAATCAAGAGAACGAGAAAGAAGACTGAGAGAAAGAGAGAGAGAGAGAGATAAGGATTGAAGATGATGAAAAAAGTTCTGACGATATCGTTCTGAAAGAGTATCAAGAACAGTAGTTGCTACTTACATGAATATGAAGAAAAAAAATCTGGACATGATAAAGATTATTTATTAACTTCTGAATGGATTTTCTGTGCTCCCTGAACTGAAACTTTGAACTTTGTTCATTTCTGAATCAGAATTTTTTTTCTGTCTTCTTCCTCTACTCTCACCCCCATATCTCTTAGAATCTTAATCTTGGGAAATAAAATGACAAAACAATGACTACTTTTGATGATGTATTTCAAAAAGATGCTAAAGATGAGGATAAAAAAGAAGAGAGAGAAAAAAAAGTGAAGGAGGAAGCAAAATCGTTCTAAGAGAAATATTCTTCTTATTTATCATCTTATTCCTTCATTTGGTGAGCTGACGAAAAGGGTTCTGATTATATGAGAGCATCTCCCTCCCCCCCTCTCTCTCTCTCTCTCTCTTCATCATTTTCATCCTTTTCTTGTCTAAGTGTTGGACAATTTACCGATGATAATATAATCATACACCTGAAGATAACAAGGAGATGTAATTGTTTAGAGCCTAAAGGCTAATCATCATCTTTGTTGACAGTTATATATCAACCTCACCCAAAGACGATGATGATGATGATGATGAAAAGGAAGATAAGATGGACACACACATAAAGAATAGGAAAAGAAGTTTAATTTTTTCCACCTTCATATTCACACATTGTTAGGTGATGGCGATGATAAAATGAATTTCATGGTTCAATTTACAAAGGGTTAACCATTAGAACTGACCTTTCATGATAATCATCATGCTCTCTCTTGTTATAAATACAATGCGATTCGCTTATTGAGTTTTTTAATCTTCTATTTAAAAAAATCACCACAATTAGTGATAAAGTACAACTGTATTGTGTGTAAATGATTATTGCATCACAATTTAATTGATCAACATTTTCAGTAATTATCACCTTGCGATTGATGAAAAAAACATAATCTATTGACTACATTCATTGGATTTACATGTATAAATGGCTGTATATGAGTTTAGATTGGTAGAGTTGATACAAAGTATCAGTGATTAATCACTGGATAGAATAATATAATTAAGAGCAATTAAATGTACTTTTCCATCTCTTAAATGGATACAATTTAAGACAATCAACTGGGATCATTTAATTTTTATCGGATCAATAAAAACAATACATTTAATTGCCCATCAATTGAATGTCAAAGGGTAAAAATTGTCAACAGAACTTTTTTTCATTCAGATTCATCATGATGGTTATTATCATCTTGTTAAATTGTTACTTTAACCAGGATATATAATCAAGGATGATGAGGATGATGAGGTGGGTATGATGACCACAGTGAGTGACGAGGAAGAGGCAAACAACTGTGAATGAAAGGATAACAAAGATGACCAAAGTGGTCAGTTTTTTTTGTTTTCTCATTCTTTTCATATCTAAAAACTTATTAACTACAATGATAGTTACTTATTAATCCCTGGAAACGGAATTAAGATTCATTTTTTTGTAGAAAAGTTTGTCAACCATTAATCCTTTATATCTAACTTTTCATTCACTTAACTTGTCAATCTTTGTGGTCAGTTAATCACAGCCAATTGTCCAGGTCTAATGACCTTAACAAAAGAAGAAAAAATTTAGTCTCAAAGTAATAATAATAATCGAGATGAATGGTCAAGACAATTAACATTTATATGCAAATGGAAAAACTTGATTACCTGTGATCAGTGACCATTGGACAATCAGGTAAATTTGCTAATCCAAATCACATAGTCGATTGATTGATTTTTTTTTGCTTCATCTTTACAACAATTGTAAAGTCATAATTAGTTTACCAATTGACTAGATTGTCCAATTTATTGTTGTATCAAGTTTGTTGATTGTAATGATAATAAGGTGATGATAATTAACGAGTATCACAATTAATGTTGTGTTGATGTTAAAATTGTTCAACTCTTCCGGTTGTATTATTATTAGTTAATTGTAACAAGTAAGTTAAAATCTCACTTCCTATTGAGATGCAAAGTGACCAACAATTAAGGGTAAATATATTTTAATAGGACAATTAAATTTGATCCACTAAATTTATGTAAGTTAAAAAAAAGCGACAACTACAAACCAACATGATTAACAATCAAGATTCTGATGATTATCAACATGATAACAATTCATTGCGTGCATGATACAAGTTCAATTTGAAATCAATTACTTTGGGATTTTCATGATAAGAATAATTTTTTTTCACCTAATATCTTATTATTGGAATGAGGATGAACTTGAATTCTGAGTTTTTCCCACAATCTATTGTCAAGGGATCATGATTTCGGTGACAATTCTCATAATCCATTTAATTTTGTCATCTTCTCATTAGATTATCATCATCATCATCAATAGTTGGATTGATAAAGAGAAATCAACTTAATCCAGTTTCAAATTTTTTTCCTCATTCAATTGTAAACATTTAAATCAGTTGATTAAACTGATTGTTGATGATTAACAATTTGTCTTTCTCTTCTTCTTCTTAACCATTGGTGGGAAATCGTAAGGTTAATTTAAGTTGATCAAATTAAATCTATTTCCTAATCTTATTTATTGGTAGAAATTATTAACTTACCTATTTGGTACCTTAGGTTATCAGGTTAATTGCTAAATGGATTAGATTTATTGATTAAGTCAATTTGTTACACTCTCAAGGTGATTAGTTACTAAATTGCTGCTGTTGTTGAAAATTATCACAGTTAATTGTTTACAAGTTAGTTTTTTAATTCTTTCACTCAAATTCTGTGAAATTTGAAATCAGGAAGAGAGAAAATTTTCTGTACAATATTGAGGAAGGAAAAAGGAAATTGAATCAATCAGAGAGAGAAAGAGAGAGAGAGAGAGTAAGTTAACTGCTGAATTGTTAGAAAATGTGATAATTAAAAGAATCGCCATGAATCATGATGATTAATATTCTAATCTGATTGTTTTTCTGAATGAATTTTTTTATCAGGAACAAGAGGTTACGAAGATGAAAAAAGTTCTTGATTCTCTGAATAGAGAACTTTTTTTTTCTTCTCCTCCCCCTTGTCTATTTCTTGCGTAATAAATTGTTCTGTTTAAAATTTTCCATGATGATTCTGATTAAAATCAGTGGCAGTTAGGTAACAATGTAATGTCATTGATTAACAATCAGAAGGGTTTGTTGCCTTCTTTGTCCAACTTTGATTGTTTGGATTAAATTGTTTCAAGAATCAAAGACAAAATCATTGATCAAAAAATCTCTTTGACAATCAAATCGTAATCTATTTTTTTTCTCAATTGCTGTTCATCATTTAATTCATTGTTTCTTGATTGTTGTCTCATTAAATACAGAAAGAGAGAAAAAAAGAAAGAAAGAAAGAGAAACTTTTCTGTTAACTATTTGTTTGTGTCCCTCTTAAATCATGATGATCATTCTGAGGATTCTGATTCCATGATCATGATTAAAGATCAATGGCCTTAATCATCAACTTAAACTAAATGACAATTTAACTCAGATACTGTTTTTTTAAATACTATCACATAAGATCAATAAATGTTTTGTCTTCATCTTTTTTTTTCAATCTCGGTGTCATTTTGTCAACCATTTTTCATGGTAATCATGAACTTGATGATCGCTGATCATGGTAATCAAAGGTTATTTAACAGTTGATCTCTCTTTTTTTTCACTTCCTTAATCACTGTTAATATTCATGAGGGTGTTGATTGTTCATCATTTCCATCATTAAATTGTCATCATTGAACAATCACATTTAAAAAAATTTCTCTTCTCCTATTGAACAATTTTCTCCATTTCAATATCATGTAACTGCACAATCTTTTCACAATCAATAGAAAATTAACTAATATGTTCATTTCCTATTCCATTAGATCAATTTACTTTTTAATTTCTCTTAATTTTAAATTGTTAAATTTGATTCTCATTTGATTGTCTAGTTTACGATTCGATTCCAAGCGCCATCTATTGTACGATTCAGGAACTAAATTTATCACATGTGTGAAAATCTTGTGATTAAAATTTAATCATTGAATCGTTTTGATCGTTAATCTAATTGTTATTAATTTGTTGAGAATTTATTATTTTTCATAATGGACCAATTTTCATCAGGTAGGTTGATAACAAATTGAATCATTTCATTGCCGGTAAATCACATCGGTGAGACTGTTGTGTTTGTATTTGGGTTTTTATGTTTACCTTTTTGTTTTGATTTTGAATTTTGCTTTTTTTTTTGAATGTTTGTTTGTTTGTTTTAGATTCTGATATTGATGAAACCGCCGAGAAATTTGTTAAATTAAAGTTAACCAAGGTTAAGGATAAAGCTGATCGAGCGACCGTTGAGAAAGTTTTAGACCCAAGGACTCGAATCATCTTATTCAAATTTCTCAATAAGGAAATCATTGATGAGATAAATGGTTGTATCAGTACAGGAAAAGAAGCCAATGTTTACCATGCAACTTGTCCCGATGGAGCTGAAAGAGCGATTAAGATTTTTAAAACGTCCATTTTACAATTTAAAGATCGTGATAAATATATTTCAGGAGAATACAGATTTCGCCATGGTTATTGTAAATCCAATCCAAGGAAAATGGTTCGCACTTGGGCGGAAAAAGAGATGCGAAACCTTTGCCGTATATTTCAAGCAGGAATTAATTGTCCTCAACCATATCTATTGAAAAGTCATGTTATCCTGATGGGATTTGTGGGTGAAAAAGGTTTACCTGCTCCTCTGCTCAAAGATGCCGAGATTAACCGTTCGGAGGCCAGTAAGCTTTACCTTGAATGTGTCCTGATGATGAGCACAATGTCCCGTCAATGTAAATTGGTCCATGGTGATTTAAGTGAATACAATTTACTTTATCATAAAGGTAAACTGGTGATGATCGATGTCTCCCAATCAGTTGAATGGGATCACCCGATGGCTTATGAATTCTTAAGGAAAGATTGTGTCAATGTAAATGATTTCTTCCGTCGTAAAGGTGTCGCAACTATGACAAGTCGAGAGCTTTTTGAATTTATACTCAATCCGAATATAAATGAATCTAATCGAGATGAACATCTATCAAAGCTCCAAGAGATTATCTCTGCTCGTTCATTTCAAGAACTTACAAATCAAGAAAAAATTGACGAAGAAGTTTTCAAAGGATCTTTTATACCACAGAGATTGGACCAGGTTATCGATGCCGAAAGGGACATTTTTCAGCCCGAAATTAACAAAGAAGCTCAACTTTATAAAGATCTCAATTCTTTGAATGATAAGTTATCATCTTCGGATGATGATGATTACAAATCAAGCTCAGAATCAAATAATGATGAAGATGTAAACATGTCCATTAAGGAAGAGACTAAAGGTGATAGAGTAACACAACGAAGGCCTCGTAATGAATCACCCGAAAGTCGTAAGGTAAAAGTATAGACAATCAACTAGATACAGTTAATTGTGATTCTAAATTGTTAATTTTTCCATTGTTTCATCCAATTTTAGAGGCGAAAACGATTGGCTCAATTGGAGAAACAAGAAAAACGAAAAACGAAAATCCCAAAGCACATTAAAAAGACCTCAACAAAGGCTGGAAAAGCTAAAAGATAAATTAACGATTAATTCAGTGACATTTAATTTGATTGCTGGCAAATTAATCAAATCATCAACTCTTCAAATTTCCAGCCAATTAAGCCAAAAGGACCCAGAACATTACTACTACTATTTGATTATCTGTGCTTTTTATTTTGATAAACTTACAATTCAACTCACCAATTAAATGTTTTCTTAATTCTTGTGATTGTTTTTTTGCCTCATCAAATCAATAGATCAAAACTCAATGTCTTTGAATTGATGAGAAAATTTATCACTCAAGAAATAAAAAGCATAACAATTGAACTTAATTTATCTCCATTGCAATTGATTAATTAATCGTTGACATTTAGATAATTAATGTAGAATTGAGAAGTTTTTTTCTACTACAAGTTTAAAGTTCGTTTCTCGAACAAGCTTTCGTTCATTATGGTATCTTTATCGATCTTGAAGTGATTTGGACGTTCGAGATGATCATTAGTATTCGTTTTATCATCTCAGTCGACAATCGATATGTTCATCATATATTCTGATGGTAACCCGATAGAATCAACTATCTTATTCATATATAAATCAACTCGAAGGCTTCAAGTTTCATTTCGTTTTTTACTGTTTTCTTTATCGATTATTTCATCTATTTGATTATCGTAATAATCAAATACGATAATTGTCATCTTACCTGATCAATTGTCTAGAAATGAAGGAAACTGATTAATAAATCACAAGGACTTGAACGAAAATGGCAACAATTAAAATGGTTAAATTGTTGATTAACCCGAACCATGTAAACGATATTCTCAACTTAATTGATCAAAATCGATATCGAAAAGGTAACTTTTAAAAGCTAATTGGAAATATATTCTGAGGGAAAAAAGTTCCAACTCCAAGTAGAAATTATCGATTGAATTTCTTTTCATTAAAGTTGATTCTCTAATAATGAAAGAAGAAATTATTTTATTTGAAAAATTGTTCGAAATGTTTAAAAAACGAAAATAACTTTTGGCCTGATAATTGAACCTCCATGCTAATCATACATTAGAAATACATAATCAATAAGGTGATCAATCAATCATTACCTGTTGTTATTTAAATATTCCTATTGACATTATCATCCTTATCATCATGATTGTCATCATCAATTGTTATCAAATGATTTTATTATTATTATGAATACATGGTTACCATGAATTAAGAGGGAGTTGATATTTATCATGTTGAACTTGAGTAGATGAAAAAATCGTTTCATATTTTTTAAGTAACTTGTGGATCTATTGTTGGAATCAGATTGATTTTCAGCGATGTTTTTGATTTAGTTGTTAATTGTTGATGAATATTAATACTATTAATGGCACTGGAAACGTTTGAAATTGAAGGGGGACGACGAACCCAAGGTAATTATCAATTGCTGGTCTCTTGTAATTGTTGCTTCTTGTGGATTGGATTATCAAATCAGCTTCGAATTGTTTATTTTCTCGATCTAATTGGTAAATTTTTCTTTTTCCCTCCTTCCGATTTTGTTCTAGATTCTGATCATGGTGATTATACTCATAATGAAGAGGCTCATGGTACCTGTGCGAATATATTAACTATATTGTCCATTGTATTTGCCGCTCTAACTTTACCTTTGTCGCTATTTTTTTGTATCAAAGTGGTCCAAGAGTACGAACGGGCTGTAATATTCAGATTGGGACGATTACTAAATGGAGGAGCTAAAGGTCCAGGTACGATTAGTGATCTAATAGATTCAGAGATTTCCCACCAATTCCTAAGTTCAATTGGAGTGTTTTCTTAACCGATTTCATCTTCTTCACCTTTTCTTCAAAAGGCATTTTTGTAATTCTACCCTGTATCGAAAATTACACCAAAGTGGACCTTCGAACGTTAACTTTTGATGTTCCGCCACAAGAAGTGTTGACCAAAGATTCGGTTACCGTTTCGGTTGACGCTGTGGTCTATTATCGTGTCCATAATGCAACAATATCGATCGCCAATGTTGAAAATGCTCACCATTCAACTCGACTTTTGGCTCAAACAACGCTACGAAATATTTTGGGAACTCATAATCTCCATGAGATACTTTCAGATCGAGAATCAATTTCAACCTCAATGCAGGTAAAAATCGAATAAAAAACAATTACTTTTCTTTTCTATTTATCTTCTTCTATTCTTTTTTGTTTCCATGGTGAAAACAATTAGAGGAAAATTAAATCGAATACAATTAAAAGAAAATAAAAAAAAACTTTCTTTTCTCTTTCCCAATTTGATCATGATTATCACGATCAACAGTCAGTTCTAGATGAAGCTACTGAACGTTGGGGAATCAAAGTTGAACGAACAGAAATGTAAGTGACCAATGGGTTAGATTATTGTCCATTGAGATAGACAATCATTTTCTTCCGATCGATTTTCGTCTGATTATTATTGATTGAATATCGATAATCCAATTTACAGAAAGGATGTTCGTCTACCAGTACAATTACAAAGAGCCATGGCAGCCGAGGCTGAAGCTGCTCGTGAGGCTCGAGCCAAGGTACGAATATTGTGCCATGTGAATTTAATATAATCAACTAATTGTTGTTAATTGTTTTCTTTTTATTCCAATATAATAGGTAATCGCTGCTGAAGGTGAACAAAAAGCATCTCGAGCTTTAAAAGAAGCGGCTGAGGTAATTGCTCAATCACCGGCGGCGATTCAACTTCGATATCTTCAAACTCTCAACACTATTTCGGCGGAAAAAATTCAACCATAATATTCCCACTGCCGATTGACCTACTTGCTAAATTTGCATCGAAATGACCACCAAATCAATTGTCCACTATAAACTAATTTTCTCTAAATGGTCCAAATAAAAAGGGTTAATTGTTTACCAATCAATAGTCTAACGATTTGATTGTCAACAGTTTCAATTAACTTTTCTCACATTTTTGGTCATTCTAATTTATTTAATTGCTCGAATCGATTCAATTTTCCATTCTCTCCTAACCAGCAATGTCTTTCAACAATTAACACTTTCAATTCAACATTTGAATTACAATCAACTAATTGCTTAGATAACTTTTAACCTTCAACTAGAATTATATTGAAATCATAATCCAAATATTAGATTATTAATTGTTTCATTAGAAAATAAAATTTCAACGTCAAATTTTTTTAGTAAAACAATATTAGTGTTAATTAATCATTATCAAACAATTAAATCCTTTTCAATTTTCACAATTGATAATATTACAAAAATTGATTGAACAATTTAAATGAAAACATTAATTATGTTGTTTAAAACTTAAAACGGTAAATAAATATGAGTATGAATTATTTTCAGGTTAAAATTATCATTTAAAATTGAACACAATTAAGAGACACTATCACCTAATGATTATGATAATGCTAATTGTTAACAATCAATTTAAATTACGGTATAATCTTGACTCCACAATCTAGTTGAATGCATATTGTAGTTTGGATTATTATTGATTCCAGAAAGTGAACGGATTATACTTGGATCTTGTTTAAATCCATTGATAAACTCATCTCGACTTAATCTATTATCTCGGTTCTGAAATTTAAAAGTGAAAGTTAAAACAAATTAGTTGATAAAATAACAAAATTAAAGGAAAACAATTAAAATTATCGTTGGTTAGTTTCTTTCCAAGCCACTAGATGACAGCACAAAAGGCACGAAAATTGTTGTGTTTCAATTGTTGAAAAGTTTTCTCATTCCATTTAACTTTTAATTGTAGCAATTAGAAAACTTACCAAATCCATTCTGGAAAATATATCATCGATACGTTCCCTGGCCAGGGTAAGTTGCATCTCAGTGGTTCCTTTACGTTCATAAAGAGCTTTGACCACACTGAACATTTCGGCCTTGGTTATGTAACCATCGCCATCGGTGTCATAGATTGAGAAAGCCCCTTGATTGTTTTGATGATTGCAGAAAAATTTATGTGTACAAATTGTTGATCAATTAATTAGATTCTTAAATTAATTTTAATTATTCTTACATTCTAGTTTTTGATCAATTCCACCATGAGTTGGTATGGTAACCGCTTGAATGAATTCAGGGAAAGTAATCACACCATCCTGATTGTTGAGAAGAAGCAAAAAAAAAAACAAATTAACAACAATTAACGAGCGTCAATCTTAATTGTTAATCTAATCATATCAATAAATAAGATAAATGTTACTAACTCTACTAACAATAGAATCTTAATTAGTTGAAATGATTCAAGTGAATTGTAAGTTGTATGGATTAATCTTAATCTCTAATTATTGAATGAATTTAATCATTTAAATCCTTTACTAATTCTGGTTACTCTTTAATCATGTTGGATGAATGAAGAAAGTTTCAATTAGCACCAATGAAAGAGAAGAAGAAGAAGAGAGAGAAAAGAACCTGAACTTTTATACAACTCAAATACCTTTACACCTAAAGTTCTGGTAGACTCATTAATCTAATTAATATTCAGGTCATCACAATCTTCCTCTTTTTCACACCCTAATCCATGTAAATATAATCTGATGCCTGAGTAGTGGTTAATTCATCAAGTAAAAGTAAAGGAACAATGAAATAATCCAAATTATACCAACTATGATCTAATCAATTCCAATAGCCTAAAGGCAAAAGTCTGAACATTTACTTTGAAACATCATGATAACAATAAATGACAAGGATCAGATTATCATTTTACTAACTAAAACTCTACCTATCGTAGGTTAATTATTATAAAGATAATAATAATAATGAAGATCCAAGTATGAAACAACAATGAATTGATGATTGATCATCAATTGAAATTTATCCTCAACAAAATGAACCAATAAAGTTTTTTTTTCAACTTGAAATCCTTTTATTTTTAATCCAAATCCAAGATCGAATCGATTCTGTTCATTTTGACTTCACCCTGACTCCATCACCCTGATAAATCAATTGATAATTGACAACGAATGGAATTATCTGTTCACTATTTCTGTTATTATCATTTACTAAATTCAGGAGTGAATAATGTGCTCACATCAGAGTCAGAAAAATATTATTCATTCGGAAAAGAAGAAATTCTTTTCTCTTTACTTGAAATTTTCCAAAAGAATGAAAAAAAATATCAGATTTCTCCATGTTAAGAATAATAATATTAGATTGGGAACAATTCATTTCAATTGAATGATTATAATAAACATGAAGCGTCAGGGAAGACAAATTACTCTCTCTCTCTCTCTCTCTCTCTCTCTCTCTCTCTCTTCTACCCACTTCCCACCATTATCATTGATATTATTATGATATTTTCCACCTTCCCGCCGAACCCACTCCCTCACCTCAACCAATGGTTAAGACACATTTTCAAGTTGACACTCGATCCTATGGGAATAGTCAATCAGCTTTCAATTTCAATTTAAAGTTTTCTTTTTTTTTGCTCTTTTCTTTTTCTTAAAAATAATTCAGGAGACTTGAGAGATTCATGTGACTCTGAAACATTCATTGTCACCATGTTGAATCACCAGATGAATCTTAAACTGTATCATCAATATACCAACGGAATTAAACTTGTAATAGTAGTTTCCAGCTATTGCCTTTATTCATATCGCTGCAAAAAATTAATATAACGGGTTACACATTTTCTTATTAACTATCAGTCAAATTGGCATATCAAGATTCTGAATCATGATCAACTTTACTTTTCTGGATTAACTATTTACTATCAATTTTTTTGTTTATTAAATACATTATGTGCTTTGTATTTGTTGATTGTTTTAATATTGCTGGTCAATGATGTAGCTTTATCATGGTTTCATGATCAAAATGCTAGAATCGTATTGAGAACCTGAATGAAGCTCATTGAAAATCAGAGATTGTGAGTCTCACAATAAAGATTGAGATTGTTACACCCAAGGGTATTTTCGAGAGCGAGAGAGAGAGAGAGAGAGAGAGAGAGAGTTGAGAGAGTAAGAAAGTGAAAAACATATACGAATGTTAATCAAGATCTTTATTAGAGCCATTGATTCATTGTTATGATTACTATTAGTTGAAGGTGATGATGATGATGGTGTTGATGGGAACTGTTAAGATCCATTAAAAAAATATTTTCACTTCTGCTGACTCATGAAAGAAAAACTCAGCAAATGAGATTGACAGACTTTCCCCTGCAATCAGAATGAAAATTTATTCAATGGGTTATTACATTTCCATGATGAATAATATAAATATCAGACACAGAAAGACACTCATGCCAAGAGGGAAAACTTTTTTAGAACTTTTTTTTTCAATAAAAGAGAGAGAGAGAGAAAAAATCTCGAACTCATTCCTCTCCCTGTAACTAAAATCTAATCAAAAGAGGTTTTTTCCCCCTTATAACGGTATATTTATGTTCAGGGTGGCTCATTTGTGAACATTATGTATATACACTTGAGAATTGACATTTACAGGTAAATATATTGTAAATAAATACATTAGATACATTGAACAGTTTAATTGCCTTAGGAAAATGATACAAATTTAGTTGAACAATTAGCTGATCGATTCCCTGGTGAACTAACTGAACATGTTGATTAATGAATCATTAATTGTGTTTCAACATGGAAAACAACATGAAAAGTATTCAACATGATGTAAAAATTGTTTTTTCTTTGCACTGAATTTCAATACGAATTCATTGGTAACTATATCATCTCAGAACTTTTTCATTCTCATCTCTCTCTTTTTTTTCCCTCTTTCTATCGAACTTGTTTCTCTTTCTTTAATACTGTTGAATGAAAAGTTCTGATTGAAGTTTTGATGAAAAATGTTGTCATGTTGTCAGATAATAGTATTAGTAACACTTTGATTGTTACCATTTGAAAGTTATCATTATTTTGGTTACAATAAACACTAAACCAATGGATGTTTATACATAATGTAAAAAGTAAATAAAGTAACATCAACAATCAACACAAACAAACACAATTTAAATTGTCATCATGATGACATGATATTATAATGGATACGAAAAGATCATCAGAATGTTATTCAATTTTTTTTTACTCCTTCCATAGAAACTGTTTCAATCTTTTTATTGTAGATCATTATTATCATCATTATCATCAACTTCCATGTGATAATGATGAAAAAATATGATGAACAAGAGGATGTGGTTGTTGGTTTCAATTTGATTCCCATGGAATTGAAAAGTTCAAATATTATCATGATGATAATCAGCAGATGAAAATATTAACCATCTTCAACGTTATGTTATTGTGATGAGCTGAGTTTCAGTCAAGTTATTGTTGTTATGATTTGTATACTTACCATGGATTCACCATGAAAACATGATGGAATCATCAGAATTGTAATTATATATTGTATTGGATTTGTCTTCAAATTGAATAGAGTTACATTCTCATACAATCATATTTTAAATTCACCATTATCATGATGGTGATTACATCTGAATAGTTGTCTTGGAATCTCATGAAATTTTGATATTCAACGAATAGTAGATGAAAAAGTCAACTAATGGTTCAGAACTTTTCTCCTTTCAGCTAATATTTTAGTTCATTTTTTTTTCTCTCAATGATAATAAGATAAATTCAATTGTCTCAACAACGATTAACTCAATTATCGTTATCACATTGAAAAGTGTCAAAACGATGAGTGGTCATCAATATCATGATGTTTGTTCATGGTTAGTGGTCAATAGGTTGAGTCTCTTACCTTGTTAACATCAAACTTGGTGAAAATATAATCAGCCAATCTGATTAAGTTTATATTGTCCGGTGAGAAATATTCATGAAAAGTTTCAATGAAAATCTCCTTTGTCATGTAACCATGAGGACAACTTCTTAGGAACTCTTGGTGCCAATGTTTCAATTGAGAAATTGGAACTGTGTCATTTAAAAGCAAAAGCGAATCAGAAAGATTATTCAGTTGAACAAATAACAAGTAATTCCCTTCATCATGGTGATTAATCAGTCGATTATCTGAATAAACAAATGTTGATCATGAGATTAACTGATTACCATTTGATATTAATTACATTCAACTACTTGAAATTTGATTGAGTACTTCAAGAGTTCATGGTAAGCTTATTGTGTTCAGGGTAATAATTTATCATATTTAATGAGTTGAGAGTAATTAAATTTAGCTCAACAATTTACTTGATTGAAATTAAGTCGAAAACATGAAAAACTTTATCGTTACCATGAAAAAGGTTAATCATCTTGAGGCTTTCTTGATAATAATTGAACTATTTTCAGGTGACATTGAATTAATCTTTAACATGGACTTTGTTGAAACTTATTCTGTATTCAGCTAGTGTATGAATGATTGTTCAATACCATGGAAACCTGAGTAACTTGAAATTGTTCAAATACATTGATGACAATACTTACATGGCGTCTCTGCAGCTAAGGCTTTGAAATCAACTGTTGTTTTCGGCTTATTCAGTAATGAGCCCATGGTGAGTGATGATTATGATTAGACGATTCAAATTAGTTCACTTTAGCACTTTAATCAACTATCTTTGGTTAATCATGAAGTGTTTTGGTTTAGATTTGTGTTCGTTATCCTTTGAATTCAGAGGCAAAACAAACAGACAAGAAACATTATCCAAATCAATCAAAGGTTAATCTATTAAGAATCACAAGCAACAGGGTGAAAAGATTTCAATTATTGATACAAAGATGTTAACATGATGATTCTGGGTGAGAAAATGGTTGAAAAAAGTTCTGACATAAAAAAACACCGTAATGAATTATTGAGTTGAAAACGATTCCAAAAGGATAAACAAACTGAGATAACAGGTAACCAAATGAACTGAAATGATATTTCAGATAAACAATAAAATATATCAACCAGGTGAGTGGGAGGAAGAGGAGTGTAGACAGAGAGATGATGATCGACAGAAAGAGAGAGAGAGAGAGACTGAACTTTATTCATTATCTTCCTCCCCCTGAGTCACAGGAAAAAAACGATAAAAAAATAAGAGAAACTTTTTGTTTCCTCTCACCATAAACTAGAGCAAACTATTTACTCTCGGTGGTGAAAACTAGACGGAGTGAGTTTTATTTCCTCTCCCCTGAATAAACAAACCTAAACACCTCCTTCTCCTTCCCCTCCACCATCACCACCAACATCATCATCACCAATTCCCACCTAATCATCAGAATCTATGAATGAGTCGGTTTAGTTGATTATTAATAATCGTTGATTCAATTGAGATATTAAATGAAGGAGTGAGGGAAAAAATTACTCTCATTGCATGGTTACCATTATATTAAGATAATTACATTATTACAATTTACTATTACTATTGAAATGATCAACATGAGGGTGGAAGATGATTTTCACCCTAATTTCAATTCTGAGAAGAAGAAGAAAAAAAATAATAATGAAAGGAAAAACTCATTGAGCCATTTAAATGCTGGTTTAATGTTCAATTGATTTTTACACTCTCTGTACTAATAGCAAACACTGTAATCGATGCTAGATCATCATCATCATCGGTGGGAGTTAACCCACCCCCTTGTATATATACACATATTAGAATAACATGGAAAAGTTCTGGTTGCCTTTGGTTACCAGAACTTGTATTTTTTTTTCATCGTCTTCTCCCTTCCAAGAGTAAATATTAATCGAGAAATTTATCTTCTTTTTTTTTCTTCTCAATGAAAATATTGTATTCTTATCATTAGTGATTGTCATTAAACTTTATTGAATGAAACCTAATATGAATCGTTATTATTACTATTCATCAGGTTGAGCAACTAAATTCATCATGAAACTTTACATGATAACATATTGATCTTGATGTGTTTTCTATTTGATTTTGACCCTTCCTCTTTCGTAATCAATTTCGTTTCAGTTTCAATTCATTCAGGAAATTTTTCGTTTTTCTCATTCCATCTCTTTCTAACTTATCATGAAATTGGCTCAGATATCATGATCACAATTCAAGATCAAACTTCAGGATGAGAAATATATATGATAATCAATTACTGAATATTCAATATTTACACTGAATTTCATGAGCATACCAAGACAAATTGTTCATTTCTGTAAATAATATAACTTTCCTCGATAATTAGTTTTGTTATTTAATAAGTTCTAATTAGTAAATTGTTACATTTATCAATATATTCAACATGATACTTGTCCTTGAGGTGTCGAGTACAGAAATCACCTTGTGGTTATTGACATTTTTATACAATTGATTAGTTGTTCAGTTCAATAATCTATTAGTATAATTAAGATATTGATCTGGGAGGAAGATCAATTTAATGAACTTGATTTAATTAACCCGTTTACATTGAATCAATTTGATTGTTATAACCTAATGTTGAAATATTGGAACATAAAATGAAATTTTGTATATAAAATTCATTCAAAACACTAAACCTCCATTCAGTGTTCCCGATAAACTATCAATTGAAGCTCATGGATGAACATCATGAAAATCTGATGAAAACAATGAAAAGACAATTCAATTTCCATGTCGCTGATAAATATCCTTTCGTTGAAAGTCCCCACCAAGAATTGGAGTAATCATCAACAATTAGCTACACAATTAAGTTCACAAACTGATGATGATTTAAATCCTTTGAAGAGTAAATTCTAAGCAGATTTAAAGTTAAAGTAGTTCACCAAGTCACCTTGAATTCACCAAGTTCAAGGCATGAACTTTATCCTTATTCTCAGGGTATTCCTACCATAGGAAAAAAAACTGCAAATTCATTGAAGATGTAAAATTAATTACAGTTACCAGTCAATTCTTTATCCTCTTTCTACAAGCTTAACCTGGGAGAATCCTTGAGTTATTGATAATTGACTGAATGACAGAATTGAGTAAGAAAGTGTCACACCGAGCATAAGGAAAAGCAGATCATGTATATATGAAAACCCACCCCACTCTTGTACATGGAGGTAAAGTGATGTGGCTCCCTCTTTCATTGAATCTACTATATTTATATATAAATAACATTGTATTAGTTTGTTGAGCTTTTAGTTGATATTGTTGATCAGATGTGTGAGTTACCGTTATTCAAGAAATTGTAATAACATTGTTCAAGTATAAAAATTTGTTCGAGAAACTCAAAAACAATGCTGATTGAGGGGAAAAGTTTTTCTCTAATGTGTTTCATTTTCACCATTGAATTGGTCCATTCTTTAAAGTTTATTCAATTCGAGGTTCCTAAAAGTGCCCCCGAGGGATCGGATGTACAATTAATCTGTAGTTATGACCTTGAAGGTTATCCACTTTATCAGCTTAAATGGTATTATAATGGTTCTGAGTTTTTCCGCCACGAACCCAAGGTGAAAGAAGAACCTTTTCTTTACCTTAAAGTAAATGGAATCAAAATAAATGTAAGTCGATTAGATTTAATGTTCTAAATGTAATAGAAAAGAATAGAAAATTTCCCTCCAAAAAATTCGTACAACGAAATCGATCGTTTCATTTATCTTTTGATACTTTTTTCCCCCACGGTTTATTCATTAAATCTTCAACCACTTTGCTCTCTCACTCTCTGTGTGTGTATTGTGACAATTAACTGACCATTGTGACCACTAAACTGTGATTAAAATCCAGAAAAAACGATCCAATTCAACCCATTTAATATTATCCGATGTGTCCAAATCAGTTGAAGGTCCATTTGCCTGTGAAGTTTCAACCGATTCATTATTTCAAACCAAATACCTTGAGGCAAATTTAACAATTTCTGGTAAGTCAATTAACTTAATTAACTTAATTAGCAATTTTCCAATGCTAATACCCAGATATTTAGATGGATAATATAATAGAAAAGAGATGAATTCTGTCAGATAAATCATCATTAACAGGAATCAATTATTATTACTTTTGGCAATTACAAATTAGACTAATAACTATTGATAATCTGTTGAACAATTAACAGTTAAAAAGAGTCGAAAAGTTAATTGTTAACAATATAATCATCATATTATAAGTTTCTACTGTATTTATATTGAGTTTCCTTCCGTCTCAAACTATTGTCATCCCTTTTGTATCATCATCATCTAATTTAATCTGATTGTCAAGGAACAATTTAAGTTCTGATCTCAATTATCACTCTCATTGATCATTCCCAATTTACCATTAAATTGATAATATTCAATTCCCTTAGTTTACTTTGTTTTAATAGGTTTTATTGTTGTCTTGTTATTATTCATTAATTCATTGTAATACTAGTTAATAACAGTGGTCAAGTTAATTTTCACCAATAGAGTAATAGTATAATAGATTGACCAGTGTCCATCTCAATCAATCTGAGAAAGAAAGAGAAAAGCCAAGAGAGAGAGAGAGAGAGAGAAGGTCAAGAAAAGGAAACAACAAGATAAATTAACGGTCTCTTAATTGAGGAAAATGGAAATTGTAATGATTAACTGAGAGAATTAAATTAAATCCAGTTGAAATTAACTAGATCTTTGTTTTCATCATCTTTTGTCTTGCTCTCTTCTATTTGTCTTCTTGTCTATTTCTTCAATTAAGATTCATTTGACTTTTGGGAAGATGATGATGACGATAAACAAAGGGATGAGGATGAGGATGAGCAAGATAAAAAGTTTAATTCTCTCTCTCTCTCTCTCTCTCTCTCTCTCTTTTCATCAACTGTCATTACAAAGAGACCATCTTCCTCTTTCATACCCTATCATCTTGTGTCTTGTAATGATAATGACTTGAGATATCTTATTCTTATCTTCATCAGCATCCTTTCAATTTGCAGTTTTATCTTCATCATCATCAATAGTATCATCATCATCCCTTATCATTATCAATGCCTAAACCTTAATTGGGACTTATCACACTCTTTTATCACTATGATGATGGGGAGATGACATAGATTCTGTTGTTATCTCAATGTTAGTTTAATCTCAACTTTTCACTTCCGTTTCCATGTGATGGAGATGCTAATCATCATCTCACCATCCTTACAAACTCAAGCTTTCAAAAAAAAGCGTTAATAAAGTTGATGATTAACATTATAATCTAAATCCAGTTTATTGGTTCAACTCTTTCAAGCCAACTAATTGTAGTAATTATTTGATTGTCAACAGTGTCTGTTAATCAAGTAATCAGTAAGTCAAGTCTAATTCCTGGAATTGGCTGAGTGACATGAAGTTTTATAAACAATTCAAATGAGTATTTGTGAAAAATTTTTTGCTGTTGATGTGATTGAGATTATCATTCAGTTGATGAGCTCAATCAGAATCCAGGAAGCAATTGAATCAATTGTTTCAACAAGATAAGATCAATTCTGAGTGAAAATCACAAACAACAATTTGATTAACAACATGATCACACGAAACCCTTTTAAATATAATCCATTTCTATTCAGTTTCTTTATCTTCTCATTTAATCTATCATTATTATTCTTGCTCATGGTGATTCTTTCCATTCATTCAACTCTTTCTCTCTCTCTACCTCTTTCTATGTGTTTTGGTTACCTAATCTGATCCAGAACTGATTCCTCGCCACTTCCTACATTGTATTTATCCCCATTGTTATTGCGAATGCAAATCAATAATAACATTTAATTCCTCTAGAGGATTAGTGTTCAATGGATCAGAAATACTGTCAATGAATGTTATTATCGTTGAATAGATTGTGTTATTTTGTGGTTTACTATTTCTAGATTTATGCTTTTGATGGATTAAGATGAGAAAAATAGAAAGAGAGAGTTCAGATTGATTATCATCTTAAATCATGTTAACTCTAATGAGAGAGAGAGAGAGAGAGAGAGAGAGATGGAGAGAGAATGGATTAATCTAAAAGATGATCCTTCCATGAAATGGATTAATTCATTTCAATATCTCACAATTTGTCTAAATGGATAAAAGTTTATTTGGTCAGACAGTTTATTCCGGAAATAAGTGACCAGTTATTCCGATAATGATGGTCAAAAGTTAGTGTTGATAAAAAGAGATGAGAATGAAAAATGATGCTCTCGGACATTACATGAAGAGATGGTGATGATAAGATGAACAAATGAAATGTCATCAGATAGTTGACTCTCTCTCTCTCTCTCTCTCTCTCTCTCTCTCTCTCACCCTTCGAGAGTATCTGCCCTGGAATGAGAGAGTTGATGATTGTTCATTTCAATGAAGAAGATGATAACTTGCTAATGACATCCTTTTCTATGGGTTACAAAGAGTTAGTACTTAAGGGTAGTTTTCAATATCCATATTACTGAATACACTCCATTAGGCTTCAATTGCCATGGAAAATCTGGAACTTATTCAGCTGAAAAAGATGAGAAAAGATGTAGAAAGTGAATTGGAGTAAATTACAGAGAGATATATCTAAGATGAGCAATTGATATTAATCCAAAATATATATGAATCAGTTTCATTCATTTTCCATGAGGAATTGAATTTACCAGAATAACACAAAATTCAATGTTTATCATGTTTCTTTCAGAATTCATTATCTAAATTCTGAAAGATTTTTATCTTATCATTATCATGAAAATAAACTGACTTTGTACCTCTGTATATTTATGTTCAATTCATGATAATAATTTACAAGGAAATCGGTGAAAACACTGAGATAATTATTAACATAAATCATGTAATAATAATCTCAACAATGTTGATTAATCTAATCCAATTATGATTACCATTTTTTGATATAAACCATAAACTCAGTTATCATTCATGATAATATTGTACTCATATTGTATTGTTATGATAGTAATATAATCCTCATGAAAAAGGTTAGTTGATTTTACTCTTGACCAATGGTCATAATAATGATATTCAATTCTCATTATATCACCTTCATTATCATCATCATCATCATTGTACTTTAACATTTGAGAGCCTCGAAAGATAATTAATCACTAATCGGAAGTAGTAAAAGATAATTGATATCAGAGTTGAAGATAAAATTCTGAGGTCCGAAAATGTTATCCCAAGAATTGAACAATTACCCTGATGATGCTAATTATCTGATATAATTGAATGATTCATCTTTATTAATCTTGTAGTATGTTGATTAATTGAATGTCCCAAAAAAATTCACCATGAAATCAGGTGAGGGAAGGATTAAAAGTAAGGATAATCTTAATTAGTGAATTGTGTTGATATATATATAAATTGTTGGTAATTAAAGAACAACAAAATCAACAAGAGAATCAAGTTGATGATTGCTAATAGTGAAACGATTATAAAAGTTAATTAGATTTCCACTATTCTTGCAAATCTACCCACCGCTCCACCCATTTCCCACCACCCACTTTTTACACTTTCTTTTGCTGACTCTTAACTCTTTTCTTAACTTGATTGTAATTAATTTTCACTCTCTTACCTTTTCCACCACAGAGCTCAGTTTTCATTAGATGATTTTTCACTCTCCTCTCATGAGCCACCTTCCCACTTGACTGAACTTTTTCATGATAATGTTATTGTTTGTTGACCAATTTGATTGAACATTTTTTTCAACAATCTCTCTCTCTCTCTCTCTCTCTCTCATTTTATCAACGTGCTCAACATTTTAATTAACTTTCATTGGTTGATTATTAAACAACAATCAACCAAGCGACAATATTAATGCATGTTAATCTGTCTTCTAATTGAAATAATTTACTCAAACTTTGACAGATGAGAAACTTTTTTCTTCAATTCTGGAATCATGATCGTCAGAATTTTCTGATTTTTATGGAATTTATTTCCTCTCTATCTCTCCCTGTATTTTTCTGCTCTCATCTCATGTTCAGAATTTATTTACTCTCTCTCTCTCTCTCTTTTGATGTTCTTGTTTAGAGTTACATGATGATTCTGTTTGGTAATATAAGATAATCATATACTTCTAGTTAGATTATTAAAAAAATTAGAAATGAAATTTGATTACATGGTGAAATTAGATAGATGATTTATAACATAATGAACTTTTTTTTCCAATTCATTTTGTCAATCATGATATTCCAATTCTGATTCTCATTGTTAATCTGCTCATCTAACAGTCGATACAGAAAAAAAGTTGATATTTACAGAATCATTAATGGAACTGAATTTTTTTCCATGTTATCATGAAAGTGGACTTTTGAAAGTTTTGTAAGGAAATAGTTGATAATATATTTTAGTGGAAATTTGTATCTTTCTCCATGAAATTGTTTGCTTATTTAATAGAAATTGAATATTATGTTACTGGGTAAGGAATATCTTCCCTCATCCACTCCAATGATAAATCAACTTCATCCATCTATGGATTTATCATCATTCTGATATTATTATTACTCCAATAAAAAAAGGAACATTTTTTTTGTCTATTTTCTTGTTAGTTCATTGATTCAATTTCATGAAAATGTCCCTCATCGATAATATTATCACTAAGATGATGAAAATGAGAATATTGTTGACAATAAATTCACAATAGCTTATTGTTGGATATCAATATATCATCATAATCATCATGTTTATCATCATCTTCCCCATGAAAATCAATGATAACTTTATGAGAGGATTTTCAGTTAGTTTCATATTGCATTTTTGTTGAGAAAATTTTTCAATTTCTTCCGTCTACATGAAAACTGTTTCCATGAACTTTATGCATATTCAGGGTAAAAGTGAAAATGGCTCATGTTAAATTGAAGGTGGATGATGATGATGATGATGATTCTGTAGGAGTTTAAGTGAGTGAGCAATTTCATTATCATTCAATTTCCATGCCAATATCATTTCCTCTGAATTCTTAGCATATTTTCATCTGAATAATCTGAGTAACTATTTTTTTCTTGTAATAATAATAAGGTAAAAGTTAAAAGGCTCAATTATATTTTCCCTTTACAACATAATCAACACACAAATTATCCAAACCCACAGCAACAATTAAGTTTATCATTTAATAGATTGAATTTTCGAAACAAATTTTCATCAAAATTTAAAACAACAACACAACTACAGTGCTACAGAACAAGATTACAAGCTAATCCTAATCTCACCCAATGATGTATAAGATTAATGGATAATCTAAATTGTTCAAAACTCAAATTTTACTTTAAAAAAAGCTCGAAGTTCCAAAATCTCATGAACACTTTTCCACCTCGACCCTTAACTTTAGATTATATAAGTATTATAATATAAAGACATTTATAATATCAATATGATATTATTACGCAAGGAATGGGGTGGATTATATATGAGATGAATAGTATTGCCCCTGAGGTGACATTTTGTTTTTTCTTTCTCATCTAAATGTTAATCTTGATGAAGAATCATTGAGAGAAAAAATTTCAAGAGAAACTCATTGAAAGGTAACATTAATCATCGGAAAAGGAAACTAATGTGTATACCAATCAAAATTAATTGTCAACCCTGGTTCTCAAGCGTATTAATAACTTATGTTCACTTCCATGTTATATTATTATTACCATTGCAATTGAAGATGAAGATGAAGATGAAAATGATAAGAGGGAGAGAGAGAGAAATAAAAAACAACAGTAAAAGGCAAAAGATGAGGATAAAAATGATGCTGATGATAGTTTAAGATCATTTATTTATTACATAGGAAAAAGCATGTAACCAACACAGAGAGATAATGTAATAATAGCTAATATAATATCATCTCATGATGAGAAATATGCTTTTTCAAAGGGTTTCCTTTTTTATCTTCCTCATCATCAGGCTCATGGATTTGAACCACTTCATGATAATGATGATGATTATGATCACTGTTTGTCTTTGTCTCTCATATTTATCTTCATAATAAGCAATTGATATCAGTTGCAAGTTTATCATCTTCATCTTCATTGTTTCAAGTTAAATGAAAATTAAGATATCGTCATGATGATAATGATGAAACTGAATTATAGTGTTGAAGGTATATCATCATCATCATCATTTTATGGTTAAGATGATGTAATTTTTTTCTTCTTTCTCAATCAAGTAACTCATCCCATTCATAATTGTCTTACCTCCTCCTCTTCATCTTCATCTTCATCTTCATCCAACTTTTCATTATTTCTCATTGTTTCTCACTTTAACCGCCTCCTTCTTTGAGTATCTTCTTCTTAATATTGTCATCATCTCTTTCATCATCTTCATCTTTACACTCTGACAAAAAATTCACTCCCATCTTCATCATTTTCTCTCTTTTTATCTTCATCTTTCATTTGAGATGATAATTCTTCAACTTGAATTTCCCATCGATCAGCTGAGAATAAGAAATACAAAGAAGGAGAAAAAAAAACTTTCCAAACTTTCTCTTTATCTGTTTCAAATGAGATTGGAGAAAATTGTTCTTCCCCTTTTCTTCATGGAGCTAATTAAATGAATTATTAGCTTTCTCTTTCACTTTTAGCACGCCCTCAATTTCCTATTGTCACTTATTGTCATCATCTTCATGTAATAATAAGAGGAAGAGCCAGAAGTACATAAGAAGAAGCAAAAAATTCTGATGAACCATTAATGTTATCGCAACTTTGTTATATCAAATTTCATTCTTCTGGCTCATATCATGATTACGATAATTCTTGAGGGTATAAGGTGTAAATCAAAATGGAAACTCAAAGAGAGAGAGAAAAAAATACAATTTTGTTTTTCGTTCTCTCTTTTTCCCTCCCTGTGAATGAATTATTATTATTCCAAAGACTGTACATGTTGATACATTTTCTAGCGTGACTTGATCATCATAATGTTATTATCGTATAACTTTGTCTTAGATTTTTCATTTGATAGTGAAAATACTTGAATGTATCATGAGAATGAATTGGTTTACATGATGAGGATGAGAGAATCTTTTTATCATGTATGAATATTATTGAAATAAGAATGAAAATTTTATTGAGCTGTTAAAGTTTCTTCAGGGTAGTAGATATTATTTCATGATGATGGAGTATCTGGAAACGAAATGATTGACAGAAAATATTGTTATTATGTTTTCATTTTAATAGAAATTGTTTCTACTATTATGTTGATTTATTTTCAGGTGAAATTCATTCAGTATTTCCTGATTTTACCCTTGAGGAAATGTGATTATGATTAAAAGAGAGGAAGTAAAAGATTACGACGGAAACGGAAATTGTATTACTTAACTTGTTCAATGGTTGAGATAAAATTGTTCAGTCAACTGTTGAAATTGTTGTTGAATTTGATAGTAAAAAAGGTGAGATTCACCTTGAGTGGGATAGATTTTGTCACTTTGCTTCATTTCATCATGAACATCAGCTGATTATTGGCTGGTCATCAAGAGGGTGGTACAAATAGACGCTCAAAATGGATGGATGGATGACCATTATGAGTGAATTGATGATGGGTTGATGGTGGGAGGTGGATGTTCATTGTTCGTGATCAGTCTCCATGGAGAGAAAAGTGGAACCTCGATTTTCATGAGGTCGATACAAAAGAAGGAGAGAGAAAAAAATGGACAATAAAAGTGTTGGTCATTTGGAATCGAATAAATTTCCGGTTCCAAAGTGAACCATCTATTCAGCTTTAACAAGAAATTCATCTTTACCTCTCTGGAAGTGGGTATTTGATAGGTAGTGGGTGGTAGTTCTCATGAGACTAATAAGCTCATCAATTGTGAGAGTTGATTCGAAATAATAACAAAAAAATATCATAAAAGAGAAACCGAAAAAAAAGAAGTCATCATGATGTTGATCATGATGCCATGGAATCAGCTGAATGATTAATTCAATGTCCATTCAATTATCCAATTTATGAGTTAAATAAAATTACAGTTCGTATCCATATCTAGAATTGAGAGAGTCTAATGTTTCAAAATGACCCCCGATTGTCCGATATTCAATTACTCATCAGTTTCGTGATTCATGAAACTAAATCATGAAGAAAACAAAAAGTTTCCATCGGAGAACTGATTAACAATAACATGAGATGTTTCAATTGTCACTCTTGAGAGAGAAAAGGAAAGAGTGAGAGAGAATACTGGTTCAAGTGAAAGGTCACTTGATGATGACCATGAGACCTCTTAACATGATGGAATAAGATGAAAATCAGATGAGAATCACTTGTTGACTGTTTATATGTTTCATATGAGAAATTTTGTTTTCTTCATTTTCTTTAGTCTTTCTCTGCAACTGACCATTGATCTTGACCATTAAATTGAATCTTTTGTTATTATTTCTACTATCGAATGCTAAACTTACACCTTATCAACATCATTAACTTTTCATGGCAAAAGGAATTTGTCTCCTCCATTCCCACTCATTCACCCACCGAATTAATAACTAAAATTCCAGTTCTAATAGAGAAAAAAAAAGATTCCAAAGCTCAGAGTTATCTCTTTTCGTTTCTTACAACATTTCAGGTTATTGAGCAGTTGAACTTCAGGGTAACTTGTTGAAATGAACAATTTTCTCATTCTCTCTACTGAATCACAGCAAGATATAAATTCTAACAAATAGATTTCCCTTCATGAGCCAAACGATAATTTGTATTCATTACGATTCAATCTATTGAATAATATTAGTCGACTAACATCAAATATCATTCATTCATCAACCTCTCACCCTGTACCTTAGGTTCAAGATCATCGGGTTCCCAGAAGTTTGGATTCACAATTTATGCTCAATGGAAAATAATTATCTCCTTAATAATATTACAATCAATGATTTCCCATCAAGTGATTACAAACCATCTTAACCATAATCGGTATCCAATTAATTGTAAGTATTGATGGAAAAGTAAAAAAAGTTTTCCAACTTACAATTGATCAAATCAAAATTGAGATTAATTATCAATTGTAACTGGAATCTGATTGTTCAGATCTCCATGTAACTGAATATATAAGTTAACCCATTGAACCCAACTAAATGCTTATCAAATCAAATTGGAATCAGATTAAGATGAAAATAAATCAGAACTTTTGTTTTTTTGCTCTCAATCAATTCACAGAATCTTCATCATGTTCATCATGTAAACTTATTGATGATAAGATATCATTGGGAATGAATTGCTTACAACTGCTAATTCTTAATTCAGTTAGATGGAAATGAGATAAACATGAAATGTTATCATCATTTTTACTTTGATTTGCCATTTAAACAAGGGGAAAAAATGATACAAGTTTATCATGATGATCATGATTAAATCTTCATATTTCTCTGAGTAATCATTGAACTTGAAATTTATGTTTACCATCAAGTCTAATTACATTGTGAACAGTAAAGGGTTAATCTGATAACTTGATAACTTGATTATCTATTTACATTATCATTATAATACAATCACATGGTAATATCAGCATCATGATTTACTCATTATCATGATGATGATTATGATAACTTCATTATCTTTCCCTGATAAATTCAATTCTTTCATGAGAACTTTTTTTCGTATTTTTTTTTCATTTTTTCTTCTTCTCTTTATTCAGATATTAAACATTCAGATTCTTGATTTCTCTTGTATTTGGATAGGATTGAAATTGGATTAACCAGGAAATTGGATTATCTCTTCATTTCCATTCGCCAAAACAATCAACGATTAATCAACAATTGCAAATGGAGTTGGAATCAAATCATTTTTCTTTATTCCTCCCTGTAAAATATTCAAATTATATCATGATAATTATTATTATCTGTTTACATTACCAGTGCATTCAATGATTATATCATTTTGTTTTAGATATTGAATGTTGATTCATGAATTTGAAAGTTATCATGAAATTTTTTCTATCGCATAAACTTACAACAAGAATGATAATATTCAATGTAAGAGATGATAATAAATGAACAACTTGAAATTAAATATTACCTTTGATTATCTCAATGAATTGAGTTGAAAATTATTATTACTATTCAATGGGAATAAGATAAATCTTCAAGTTGATATTGGAAATGCTGAAATTGTTTTCCAAATAAGGAAACGGATGACAAATATTGTTGAATTATTATACCGATAGATTGATAATGTTGGCGATAAATGTTAAATCACAAGATGCTCAAGAGTTTGATCTGAGTTTCATCATCAGGGAGTAAATTTCATATCAAAGATGATTCGATGATGATGTGAACCATTCATTGTTTATTTCCTCATCATGGTGATAAGGAAACTCTGGTAAATATATTAATAAGGTTATTGAAAAGTTCTGAATAGTTATCATGGATAAAGGTAAATCTTTATCATGGTTTTATCTTCATCTTGTCATCGGGATGCTGAGGCTGAAAGAAAGTAGAAAATATTACAATTTGAACTAATTTATTGAACTTTTTTTTCGAATTTTTTTTTTCATCTTCTTGTTACTTTTTTTTCTTATTCTAAACATTAGCAAGTTGATCACTTGACCCAATATTACATTTAGCTCTTGACATATTCGGTAATCTCTTAGTTTCATCATCTCCTGGGCGATGATGTCCCTATACAAATTGGTGATTTTTTATGTTGTTCAGATCTTTTCATGGTGATGTTTGGGTGATGATGATCATGGAAAGTGAAATACAAAAGGGAAACCAAAGTGAGTATGAAAAAAAATGCATACAAAAGATGAAGAAATGAAAAGGTGTCTTTTGTATGGTGACTTTTTTTTTCATCTTTCAACATAAAGGATAAAGATGAGGATGGATGATGATGATGATGATGATGATGATTGAAAGAATATGCTATTCTCTGCAATTTATATTAGTGTATAATCAAAGTGAATTAGGTAAAATAGATAAGGAGTCAGAATGACAATAAAGTCTTGGTGATCACTCTTCGAGGGAGTGAGGAGGAGGAGGTGGTGGTGGGGAGGGAAAGAGAATAGAAAAAAGAACAATTGAAGAATATTATCATTTTACTCTATCAGAAGGTGGATAATGACGGTAGGAGTTGTGGGAGTAATAAAGTAGTAAGGGTTAACCACAGTAGATGAGGTTCGAGGTTTTTATTATGATTATTTTGTGGACTTGATTACGAGGGAGGTAAAGATTCACCATATTAGTAATGTTGGATGATGATTATCATCATTATCAGCTGATAAATTGCAAGTCAATTATGAATTAAATCAATGATCATCAATATTTTCATGGATATGCAATATAATCATCATTTGTATTGATTATCACTTCCATGTAATCATGAAGGTTCAATGGGATAAGCATAATGAGAAGTAAAATTATTCATTGATTGATTTTGTTCAATTCAAGTTTGAAATTGTATTTGTTGATTGTTCATGTTTATCAGTGTCACTAAATGTTGACGATAATTTAATGCTGATGTTGTTTAGCATTTGAAAGTAATCAAAGTACAAATGAAAAGTTATCATCTCATGAATTCTCATCAGTTTTATTGTAAACATTTGCTCTTTTAAAGTAATCATCATGTTCATATTATGTATGATGAGAATGAAGATCAGAGTTTTGTCTTCCATGGGAAGCCTGTTGTATATTTTCAGAGTTTCAGTTGGAACTTGGAATCTAGATGAGAACGAAAAAGATAAACGAACGAAAATAGAACAGAATTATTCCTAAAATGAGAATTTTCTCAGATTTTTTCTTCTCTCTCTCTTGGTCTCACTCCATGAGAACATTGTTTTCAGTGTTGATCATGAATTTGACAAGAAAATTTCATCTTCTATTTACACGGAATGACAGTAATAATCTTCAAGAGTGTCTCAAGGATTGTGAAGACAAAAAAGTCTACACAAGAATCATGAACAATTGAGATAATTGTCATGATTCACTTTCGTTCTATTGAACTTTTATCATGGTTAAAGCTTCGAATGTCACAATGAATCAGCATTTGATCTTGAGCTTCTTCAATCTTAATCATCTTCATCACCATCATCATCTCAATCTATTCCTAATATTTTGATTCTATTTTCATCCCTCAGAGTTGCCGATTCAATTGTCTTTTACTTGTTAATAATTTTCTTTTCATTAACAATCTCAAAATTTCATCTTCTCCACATGAAATTATTCAAAACGACAGATTAATTGTCTTACATGAATATTTGTTCTCGTTAATTGTTGACAAGTGATTAAGTGAGAAAAGATAAAAAAATTCTCAACGAAATTTTCAACTCATCGAATTGGTGAATTTCTATTACAGAAAAAAATTGGAATCATTTCTCTTGATAAATATTTAAACTCGACTGACACATGATGATAATAATTCTGATAATTTCTCATGATATTATGAAACTTTCGCCGAGTTGAAACTTAATATCTGATGCTTGGGAATTTCCATTATCATGAATAAGGAAGATGAAGAAGAAGAAGGAGAAAAAAGTTCTGAGTCGTTTTTTCATTGTTTCGATAATATTTTTTTTCTCTTCTTTGTCAATCTTTACACACTCTGAGTGTCAAAACTGTTCCAAGATTAAAATGAAACTTTTTTCTCTTCTTGTAATCTGAGTGTTGAAGATTTTTCATCACAAACTTTGAACTTTTTTTCTTCACTCACTTTTCATCATCTCTCATTATCGTTTCATCATGTTCTCAGCAATCTGATACCTTTTTCTGTGGTTAATATATCACTTACAGTCAGTTAGTTTGTACATTTGTATTTCTAATTGTCTTAGATGTGATTGATCATTGATCCTCTTTGATTATCATCATCATTTCATCCTGAGTATTTAAATTAATCTATTGGATGGAAATTGTTGTTGTTCCGATAATCTCAACATCTAATTTAGTTTCATGGGGGTTTTATTTATATTCTGATTCTGTTGTTTACATGGTGGGTGGAGGTTGGAAAGAGGAAGAGGATGTGAATAAATAAGAATGTGATGACTTGGGAAAAGGATGAGAATAAGATTATCTTGAAATCTTCATGTAAATTCAGAATTTTATTGAAAATGAGTAAATTGATGATGATAAGAATGTCAACTGATGATGATGATCAAATTAAGCTTCTTGTATGTTGTTTCTTGTTAGGGAAAAGGTTGTTGACACAATTTAAATTAAATGAGTGTTCAGTTAATTGTCCGAACTCATCTTGAGAATGAGAAACTTTTTTTTTCCTTCATCTCATCCCGATGGTTGATTGTTGTCTTTTTGCTCCAAGGTTACCACTTAATTAACAGGGAACTTAATTAAAAATTATATGAATAAATTGTTACACTGAACTAATCAGTGGGTGAGAGAGAAAAAGAGTGAGGGAGGGAATGAAGTGAAATGGTGAGAAGTGGTGGAATTGGATGAGAGTGGGAAAAAAGAGACAAGAAAAAGGTTGGAGGTAAAAGGAGAAAAGTGAATTGAAAGGAAAACATTGATTCCAATGAATTGAATGTTTCATTTTCATTGATGGTGATTCATTCTTGATACTTGATGGTGATAATATTGAGTCAGGGTGGGTGATGGTGGTGGTGGATTATATAGTTTCCATTGTGTTTCCATTCAGATCATTTCCAAATCAATTGATTGAGATTGTGTGACCATCTATCAACCTCAATTTCATGGTTCAACTAACCTTGAAGTTCAGCCTTTCACTGAGCTCATCATGGTTCAGGATTATTTTCATTATCCTCTGATTGTCCAGTTTAGTTAATCAAATGGATTAGCCAATTTAAAATCCAAAGAGGATCAAAAATCAACAGTCAATTTTTTTTCTATTGTTTTTTTTTTGCTTTCATATTAATTTTATTATCCCAGCGAAAGATAATAAATCATTAATTTGATTCATAAATTAGATGACAATTAATCATAGACTCTGTTAATTACCGTTATGTTCAAATATATGACGAAAAGTTAACATAATTAACTAACAATTAACGTGCCTCCAGTGATTTTCTTGTTGTATGTTAACTGGAAGCAATTTAAAATTAGATTAAGTAAATTGTGATTGGGATTGGGAAAGTTTTCTTGTTAACAATTAAAATATCTGCTAGTTGATCAACTTTAATTATCTTGTGAAAATGTATCAATTGGATTGTTGAAAGTTGAAATTATAGATAGTTCAGATATTATCATGATCAGTTGATTGTGATAATAAATTATTCATATTTAAACTACTGAATAAGTGAATTATTAACTATTATCAAAATTTGATATTTAGAATTGAAAATTGAAACTGAATTAGTAATGATTATCATTTATTACATCAATTTGATTTACTATCATCATCTTACAATCAAATTAATATTATTAGTTTATTATATTGATTCATATCCAGTGAATGAACTTTTCATTGTTAATTGTTACAATTTGATTCTATTTTTGTCTTGATTACTCTAGTTAATTACAATTGCAGTTGAATAGACTATTTAAATGCAATTAGACAAAAAGGTGATGTGAACAATTTACCCTCAGGGCTGTTGATTGTTAGTTAATACTGATAATTAACAGATGAACAATTAACAAGCAAAAAGTACAAATTAGAACTTTTTTTTCGTCAGTTCGATGAAGGTTGATTATCGAGTCTCTTATTTTTTTTGCAAAACATTGAAAACTTTGTTACTTAATCACAATCAATAGCAAATTGTACATCCAGGGCACGATGATTACGAAAATGTTGATTAATTAGTTTTAATTGTTACGATTTTTGTGTGAAATTTTATGGAAAATCAGAGCAAATAGAAATAAGAAATTGTTAGAAAACTTTTCGTACTCTCTGTTTGTTAATCTGAATTAACCTTCACGATTATGATATAAGCTTTAAATTGTAATTTAGATTGTTAATCAACAGTGAATTAAGTTAATCATTTAGGTTTGTTTTTCTCTTGCCATTTAGATTGATGGATTGGAGAGAAAACCCAATTGTATGAGAGAAAAAGAAAGCTATAGTTTTTGTGGAAAACGAAAATCAAGGAAAATGAACCCAC